CCCACCCCATCCATTCCACTGAGACCCCAACCAATCCCTGTGAGACCCCAACCCACACCAATGAGACCCCAACCCATCCCAGGAGACCCCATCTAATCCAGTGAGACCCCAACCAATCCCGGTGAGACCCCAACCCCTCCCAGGAGACCCCATACTCACGGGGAAGTAGAGGAGGAGGGAGCCGAAGAGGATGGTCTCCAGCAGGATGATTCCTGATGTCCGGATCCTCTGCAGGGATGGAATTGCGACGGTGCAACCTCAGAAGGGGCCGGGGACGGGGAGGAACCCCTAAGAATTCAATTTTGGGGTGCCAGCGGAGCAGGGGGACACGGGGACACCTTGCCTTGCTCCGTCGGAAGTGGTAGGACACGAGCATGCTGAGGAAGATGGCCAGCATGCAGCACGACTGGCACGACAGCACCGCCGCCCGCAGCACCTGGTCCTCCTGGATCACGCAGGGAGTGTCGTCCTCGCAGGTGGCACAGCCCGGGCGGCACGGCTGGCACCGCAGCCGGGACCCCCCGTCCGTGCCCGCCACACCTGGGGACAGAGAGATGGCCAGGGGGGATGGTGGCACTGGGGGGGATTCGGACATCCCGGGTGGGATCAGAACAACCCAGGTGGGATCAGAACATCCTGGGGGGTTCAGAACAGCCCGGGTGGGATCAGAACAACCCAGGTGGGATCGGACCATCCCAGGTGGGATCAGAGCAGCCCGGGTGGGATCAGCACATCCCGGGTGAGATCAGCACACCCAGGTGGGATCAGAACATCCCAAGTAGGATCAGAACATCCTGGTGTGGGATCAGCACATCTCAAGTAGGATCAGTACACTCAGGTGGGATCAGCACATCCCGGGTGCGATCAGAACATCCTGGTGTGGGATCAGCACATCCCAGGGCCTGGTGCCCCCCACACCAGGGCGCGTGTTCTGTGTCCCCAAAGCCCCCAGCCCTGGCCGTGGGGGACACTCCTCGTGTGCCACTGGGGACAAGAGGGACCCACCTGCCCAGGCACCGCTGGCCACTCCGCCGGCCCCATAGAAACCCGGCTTGCACCTGCACAGGTACCTCCCGAGCACGAAGCTGCGGCTCTCCTGGGGGACACACTGAAGGAGACACCCTGAGACACATCCCCGACCCCCCGTGTCCCCACATCCCCAAATCCCCCCTCCCCAGGGGCTCCAGCAGCCCCCAGCTCACGGCTACCTGACCCCGCACCATCAGCCGCGAGGAATCAGTGGTTAAACATTTCAGAATTAAAACGCAAAGCTTGGCCCCAAATCCCTCCCTAAAACCTAAATGGACACCTAATGCAGCCGAGCGCCCTAATCCTGCCCAGCCGTGACGGCAGCCTCGGGCCGGGCACTGCTCCCTAATCCCCCCCGGCCCCATCCTGCCCCGAACGGGCCGCGCTGGCGGCTCCGCTGCCCGTTGTTGTTTCCTGGAGCGATGCCCGGGGCACTGCCCGGCCCTCGGGGATGGCATCGCTGGTGGGAAACGGGAGCTGGCGACGCCTTTGCCCAGCTTGGGGACAGCTCTGGATGGCACCCCCAAGGCTGGGGGGCTGCGGGGTTCGCCCTGGCTGGGGGTGCCAAGCCTTGAGACGCTCGGGCACCGCTGTCCCGCCGCGGTGGGCACTGCTGGAAGGGGTGGGGGCGATGCTGCTGCCAACCCCCGTCCCCACCGTGCCCGCGGTGCCCGGGCAGGGAGCAGCGGGGTCACACGGCGCTGGGGAGGGAAGATTTGCACAATAAACCGCTCGGCGCGGTGCGAGAGCAGCTGAGCCAAGCAGATGGATGGCCCGGGAGAGAGGATAAAGCTCAGCCCGGAGGGAGGGACGCGGGGCACGGGCAGCTCGCCCGGGGCTCACGGGGGTGCTGAGGTGCGGGGTACCCCGGTCCCGGTGGGCTGGGGGTGCCGGGGGCCGGTACCTGGGTGCTGTTGAGGTCACAGCGATGCGTGTCCGAGAACCAGCCCGGCCCGCTGGAGCACTGGTCGATGGCCACATCCCGCAGCTCCACGTCCACCCGCACGACCCCCCTGTGACCAGGGACGGGGTCAGCCCATCCCGGGGGGTGGCGTGGGGCATCCCTGTGCCCACCCCGTGCCCCCCACCCAGAGCGGCCGAGCCCCAGCGCTGCCTCTGGGCCGGCCGCGGTGGGGCTGGGGCACGGACCGAGGGGACAGTGACAGCGGTCAGAGGTGTCCCCACACCCCCGGACAGGGGCTTTGTCCCTCGGAGCCGTGTCGGGGGGGGCTGGAGCTGGGGCAGGGGCAGAGGCAGCAGCTCCTGGGTGTGAATTCCGCCCTTCGAGAGGGATTTTAATGCAACCGATCGGGAAATGGGGGCCGCTGGGGTGGCCCCCACGTGCCCCACGGGACCAAAGCTCTTCCCTGGGCTCTCCGAAAGAGACACGGATGTCGCCTTGGGAATGGGGCCGTGTGTCCGCTCGGGCTGATCCCAGCTGACCCCTTCCCTCCCCACCGCCCCCCTCTGTGGCTCCTCGCTCAGTGCAGGAGGGACCCCCCCCCTAATCCCAGGGGCACCCCCAGCTCCCAGGATGGATCCCAGCCCGGCTCACCCACCCCCAGCGCAGCAGTGACAGGGGGGTGACAGCGCAAGGTGGGCAGCACAGGGGACACCGAGGGGACACCGGGGGATGTATAAAAAACACCTGCAGGTGCGGGCACACGCAGAGGGACACGGGCAGGGCTCTGGGGACATCCCGGGGTGTGTGACACATCCAGCTGCACCCCCAGCACACACACGGCGGTGCCTCCACCCCCCCAAACCCCTCCTGGGCTCCGCTTACTTGAACTCGGGGCTGAGGTCCGGCTTGAGCCCGTAGAAGGCGGAGGAGAGCGTGACCACCCAGGTGGGCAGGAACTGGCCCTCGCGGCACTCCAGGAACGGCGGGGACCAGCGCACGTGTCCAGGGTCCCCCACGTAGCTGTCCCCCCGCTGCCACTTGGGGGTCTCCAGGCTGCGCAGGTCATTGCTGAGCACCCGCTTGCGGAGCGCCGGGACCCGCTGAGCCTTCAGGGCGTTGAACCACTCGTTGTCCCAGCTGAGGTTGCCCAGGCTGGGAGCGGCGCTGGAAACGTCCTGCAGCAGGATCTGGCCGTCCCCTTTGGTGGCCTGCAGCATCAGCCGGGGCTTGGGGGCCAGCGGGTGGGCGTCGAGGGCCAGCACAGCCCTGCGCACCCACGGGTGCCCCTCGGCCAGGCTGCGGACCAGCGCCTGGTACCACTCCACGTCCTCGGCCACGCTGGCCTCGCGGATGTCGTTGGTCTGGAAGAGCATGTTGAGGAAATTGGCGGCGTGAGCCAGAGCCTCGGGGGCGGCTCTCAGCGCTGCCCGCAGAGCCGGGGGGGGCGCGGGCCCGGCGGCCCCGGCCGAGACAGCCCCGCTGCAGTTGGCCCGGGCCAGGCGCTCGGCATCGCCCGTGCGCAGGAACGCCAGAGCCGCCGCCGAGCCCTCGCTGTCCCCCGGCGCTCCCGGCTCCAGGGTGGGCGCCCAAGAGGATGAAGGGGCCGGCGACCATCCCGCCGGCCGCGGGGGTCTCTCCTGCGGCCGCTGCCCCGCCGTGAGCACGGCGACCTGCAGCAGCACCGCGTGGAAGCCCCAGAGCAGCGGCCACCGGCACGGCCCCATGGCTGGGGCTCAGCGGAGCCCCCCGGCCCCCGGCGGCCCCCCTGGCCTGCCCGGGGGGCTCATGGCGGGCGGGGACCCCCGAGCTGCCCGGAGCCGGCCCCGCTCTCTGCCGCCCGTTCTTCTCCCTCGGCGATGCCGGAGCAGACGTCACGGGCTCCGAACCGCGTTCAGCGGCTGGCGCTGCCCGGAGCCCCCCCCGCCCGCCCCCGCGCTCCCGCTCGGGCGGCAGCGCTGCCCGGAGCCCCCCGGTCCGAGCCCCGTGGGGACCCCGCACCGAGCCCCGAGGGGACCCCGCGCCCCGGCCCCTCGGGCTGGCCGTGATGCAAGCGCATCCTGATGGGAAGCCATGGCAACGGGGACGGGAATTTTCCTGCCCGTGTCCCCCTCCCCGCGGCCCCTCGGCAGCCGGGGGGGACAGGGCGACAGCGGGGTCCCCACATGATCGCGGGGGTCGCGGGATCCAATCCCGCAGTGCCCGAGTCCCCCCCATCGGGTTATGGGGTGAGAATGGGGGGTGACATCTTCGTGGGGTGTTCCTGTGGGGCTGGGGGTGGTGGGTGCGGGCAAGAGCAGGATCTGAAGCCCCTAATCCTGTCCCGGGGTGCAGAGGGGAAACTGAGGAACGGGAGGGCGCTCCGTTTCCTTTTTCCAGCCTCAAGCAAGGCTGATTTTCCCCAGCCGCAACCCGCGGGGAGAGCCGGTCCCCGTCCCCGCTGCTCCGGTTGGGACGCGCTGCCCGCCAGAACCGGGCAGGAACCGCGCAGGGCTCGAGCTGCGATGCTCCGAGTGCCCGTGCCTCAGTTTCCCCCACCGCATCCCCCGGTGCCGGCGTGGGGGACGAGTCCGATGGGTCACGGCAGGAGCGGAGTGTCCGGGAGCGCTCGGTGTCCCCCGGCCCCCCATCCGTGACTCCCCCGGCCCCGTGAGTGCCGGGACCGCCGGTGGGTGCCGGGGCTCGGAACCGGTCCCGCCCGTGGGTGCCGGGACTCGGAGCTGCTCCCGGTGCTCGGTGCGGGTCCCCCCGCGGATGCCGGTGCCACCCTTGGGTGCCGGGGCTCGGAGCGGCTCCCGGTGCTCGGTGCGTGTCCCCGCGTGTCCCCGCTGCCCCTCCACGTGCGGACAGGGGGGCTCGGGGGCGCGGCCTCCACACCGGGGCGGGACCAAAACCACCGGGAGAGGCGGGACCGGCACCGGGGGGGCGCGGCCAGCGGCGGAAGCGCGGGGGCGGGGCGGCGGCGGCGTTTGGGGGGGGTCGCCGCGGCCGTGCGAGGGCGGCGGCGGCGGCCGCTGGTGCCGGTGCGGTCCCGGTCCCGGTCCCCGCGGGCCATGCGGCGGCCGTAGCCATGCAACGCGACGGGGATGCGGCGGCGGCCGCCGCGGCCTCGTACCGGGTGCTCAGCCGGCTGCTGGGCTATGGCACCGGGCCGGAGGCGGGCGCGGCGGGCGGCGCCGGTGCCGGTACCGGCGCTGCGGGCTCGGTGCTCGGCGGCGGGGGGCGGCTGCCGGTGACCGGGCCGGCTCTGCGCAGCCCCCGGCCGCAGCTGATGGTTTTCCGCAACGCTGCAACCGAAGGCCGGCCCGGCGAGGACTGCGGCCCGGTGGCGGCGGCGGCGGCGGGCGGGGGGATCCCGGGGGGCGGCGGGGCCGAGCTGTGCCCGCGGCACCGCTGCGCTCTGGAGCCCAAAGCGGCGGCGAGCTGGGGAGCGGCGGCGCAGAACGGGCTGGAGCTGCAGCTGGCGGCGCTGGGGCTGCGGCCGCCGGGGCTGGGGGCGAAGGGGGCGGCGGGCACGGCGGGAACCCCCTGCCCCCCCTGCGCCCCCTGCCCGTGCCTCGGGCCGCCCGCCGGAGAGGAAACCAGCGATGCGCTGCTGGTGCTCGAAGCGCTGGAGCCCGACGAGGGCGGCAGCGGCTCCGAGGACGAGCCGGGGTCCCCCGGGCGCGGGGCCGCCAGAGCCGCCGGCAGAGCGGCGGCAGCAGCGGCGGCGCCCGGTCCCGCTCCGCCGCCCACCGGTACCGGCACCGGCCCCGGCGGCAGGAAGGGCTCGCTCCGCATCCGCCTCAGTCGCCTCTTCCGCACCAAGAGCTGCAGCGGGGGCTCGGCCACCGGGGACGCCGCCAGCGCCGCCGGCTCGGCCGGGAGCCTCACGGATGTGAGCGGGGCCCGCGGCCGCGAGCAGGAACCGGGCAGGTACGGGGGACACCGGCGGTGGCATCGGGGGAGGGATGGCGAGGGGACAGCGCGGGGTGCGGGCCGAGCCCGGGGTGACCCGGGGGCCGTGTCCCCGTGGCCATTGATGTCCCCGTGGCCGTGTTCCTGTGGCCAGGGGTGGCCCTGTGGCCATTGATGTCCCCGTGGCTGGGGGGCCGTGGCCCCGTAGCCGTGGCCCTGTGGCCGGGGGTGGCCCGGAGGCCGTGTCCCCGTGGCCATTGATGTCGCCGTGGCCAGTGGTGTCCCCGTGGCCGGGGCTGACCCGGGTCCGTGCTGTGATGCTTTGCTGGAGGGGGACGCGAGGCACCGGGGCCATCCCGTGTGACAGGTCCCGGTTGGGATCTGCCGGGGACACTCACGGGGACACCGAGGCCGGGAGAGGCTGGCAGAGCAGGGTCGCGATGCTCCAGGCCTGCATCCCTGACGGGGATGGCAGAAAAACCTCGGGGAGCAGCACCGGGAGCGGGGCTTGGAGCATCAGTGCCGTGAGGAGGAGCTGGGGGGCTCGGCCTGGCGGAGAGGAGGCTCGGGGGGGACAATTTTGCTCCCCAAATTCTTGCCGGGAAGGTGCAGCCGGCTGAGGGTCGGGCTCTGCTCCAGGGAACAAGAAATGGGGTGACTCAAGCTGTGCCCAGGGAGGTTTAGGTTGGATTTTGGGGAGGATTTGTTGGTGGAGAATTGGAATTTATTGGTGGTCAGGCGCTGGCACAGGTTGCCCATGGCAGGGGTGGAATCGCCATCCCTGGAATTGTTCAGATGTGTGGATGTGGCACCTGGGGACACGGCTTGGTGGCCCCGGTGGGATCTGTGACAGGTTGGGCTCGCTGATCTCAGGGGGCTTTTCCAGGTTCTGTGATTCCATGATGGATGAGGGGATGAGTGGCTCGGGGTGCTGCAGGTGCTGGGGCTCTGCTGGCCCCTCGGGTGGCTCTGCTGTCCCCAAGGGATGGCGTTGTGTCACCTCCTGTGCCTTGCAGGGTGATTTCCCGAGGCTCAGGTGCTGGTGGGGGCTCAGCTCTCCCTCCTGTGCAGGAGGAATCATTTCCAGCCAGAGCTGGGCTGGGATGGGGGTGACAAATCCCGGGATTCCTTGGTGTGGGATGTCCCTCCTGCCCCTCATCCTTCTTCTGTCACCTCCAGGGTGGCAGGAGCTGCTGTGGCTGCTCCAGGGCTGCTCGGGAACCGCTTCCCAGGCTCGGGAACCGCTTCCCAGGCTCGGGAACCGCTTCCCAGGCTCGGGAACCGCTTCCCATGGCATTCCCAGAGCAGAACTGAGACTCCTCCTGGAGAAGGCCGGGAATAAAGGGCTGGATTCGGTGCCACAGCACAGCCCTGGCAAGAGTTGGGGTTTGCAGAGATTTTGGAGTGTGCTGCCTCCTCCTCCTCCTCCTCCTGCTGGATGAGCAGGAATTTTTCTCCAGGCTGGAGCTGCTGACCCGGGGTCAGGCGTGACCTGCAGCCCTGGCGTGTGAGGACAGCGCCCTTTGGCAGCCCGAGGAGGCCAAAATGCCCCCGAAATGAGCTCGCCTTTGAAGCAGGGGGTGGGTGGGGAGCTGGCAGCTCCCAGCCCTGCAGCTGAGGCCTCTGTGCAGCTCCCCTGGCCCCGAGGAGCCTCCCTGGGCAGCCTCGGACGGTGGCTCCTTGCCCAAAGTGACTCAGACAGCCCCAGACGAGGTGCCCAGAGTGACACAAAGCTTTGCTGGTGGGGCTGGGGCTGGTCCAGCAGCCCTGGGACCTCCTGGGGCTGGGAGCAGGGAAACTCCTGGGAATCGCTGCCTGGGTTTTCCTCTGCTCTGGGGGTTTGATGGTCCCTTTGGTGGTCCCTTTGGTGGTCCCTTTGGTGGTCCCTTTGGTGGTCCCTTTGGTGGTCCCTTTGGTGGTCACTTCTTCTCGTGCAGCTCCTCGTGCTAATTGGGTATTTTTTAACAAAAAATTGCTTCAAGGGGCCCAATGCAGCAACTCCTGTGGGTCAGACAGAACTCTGGTGTCTCCAGATCCAGGAATCCCATCCTGGCATTGAGGGATGGATCATTCCAGGAATCCCATCCTGGCACTGAGGGATGGATCATTCGTGGTCCTTTTTCCTCGTTCCCTGGTGGGATGATGATGCTAGTGATGATGATGATGATGATGAAGAGCCAGGACTTTTCCTTGGTTCTGTTGGGAGTTGTTGCCTCCTCACCTGTGGCCCTCATGGATATGGGATGGATCCCCATGAGTCCAAGGACCTGGTGGCCACCGTGGATCTGTGGATTTGGTGGTCACTGAGTCCAGGGTTCTGGTGGCTGCAGGAGGTTCTGGCTGGAGAAAGTTCTGGTGGCAGGAGAAGGTTCTGGTGGTCGGAGGTTCTGGTTGGAGCGGGCTCTGGCTGTTGGAGGCTCTGTTTGGAGCAGGTTCTGGCTGTTGGAGGTTCTGGTTGTTGGAGGTTCTGATTGAAGTTCTGGTTGGAGCAGGTTCTCTGCTCAGAGGTTCTGGTTGAAGGTTCTGGCTGGAGTCTCTCCAGTCGGAGCAGGTTCTGGTCGGAGCAGGTTCTGTTTGTTGAAGGTTCTGATTGAAGGTTCTGGCTGGAGTCTCTCCTGTTTGGAGCAGGTTCTGGTCGGAGGTTCTGGTTGGAGTCTCTCCAGTCAGAGCAGGTTCTGGCTGTCGAAGGTTCTGTTTGGAGGTTCTGGCTGTCGAAGGTTCTGTTTGGAGGTTCTGTTTGGGCTCTCTCCTGCCTGGAGAGGTCTCTCCTGGATTTTCCCGGTGATTCCAGCGCTGTCTCCCCTCTGCAGGAAGCACCGCCTGACCAGAACCCAAAGTGCCTTTTCCCCGGCCGTGTTCAGCCCCCTCTTCACGGGTGAGGATTTGGGGCCGATTCCTGCGGCTTTGGGGCTTTTATTTTTTATTTTTTATTTTTTTATTTTTTTATCCCCGCCCTTTCCCCGGGCTCATCCCGGGGTTTTCCATCCCCCTCTCCAGGTGAGACCGTGTCTCTGGTGGACGTGGACATTTCCCAGCGGGGGCTCAGCTCCCCTCACCCCCCGACGCCGCCCCCGCCGCCCCGCCGGAGCCT